CTCTGATAGAATCTGATGAGATGTAGTAATTGACTTTGCTATTAATCTATCTGAGAGTAAGAGTTATAGAAACATTCTGATCATTGTGAATTAACTGAGTAAAGATATAATATTGAAATCTTGTAATAAGATAAGTACTGAACAAGTCTCTGAAGCTTTTCTACAGAGCCTGTTTTATCAGATGCATGAATTACTGAGATCTATAGTATCAGATCAGAGCTGTCAATTTATGAGCACTCTCTGAATAAGAATCTGTCAAGTTCTCAAGATTATACACTGTCTATTAACTGTCTATCACTCTGAGACTGATAATGTGTCAGAACAGACAATTCACACTGTGAAGAATTATCTTTATAAGTTCTGTAACTACTTATAAGACAATTGACATGATCTTCTTCTACATGCAGAGATCACTATTAATGATTGAGATGCTGTTTCAACAGATATAAGCCTGTTCTTCTTTATATATAAATATCACATGAAAGTGTTGAATCTTCTAGAGATTACATAGTTCACACTGAACCTCTGCAGTTCAATTCAGATTGCTGATAATATAGTAATAAAGCTTCAAGATGCCTGTGATTGAACAGAGGTCTTCATGACAACTGTAAAACAGAATCAAGAGAATCAAATCAATGTTCACTGAGACGCTGCTGAACAATATAAGATAGAAGATCTGATATGATTGAATCTTAAAAATATACAAATCATATATTCATCTTATACACTAGATTGCCGCCATGTCAAGTATAAAGTGATAGAAGTTCTAGATAGTCATAACTACTGTCTTAACACATCATCAGAGATTCATGATGTATTTCACACAAGCTTGCTTCATCATATTATCACTGATTCATTCCCTTCTCAACTGACTTCTGACTGACAGTCATCAGACATCATAGAAGAAGATAATGAGCTTGAGTGAGAGATTGAGAATATTCTCAATGAGAGACTCTGTGACTGTGACTGACAATATCTTGTGAAATAAGTCAGCTATAATCAACTGATCTGAACTCTGAGTTTCATGTTATCTGAAACAGCAGTTCTTGACTGATGAAAACTGCTTCTGAAAGAAGAGGCTAATGTGGCGGGCTGCATCTGATCAATTATATAAACTATTTCATTACACTTCACAGATTCCAATCACTTCATTCTTGAATGTGTATGCTCTGATTCTCAGTCATTCTCAATCACTGATTCTCAGCTGCTATGAATGCATGTATATTCTTCTGCCCTGAAGCTTCACTGTGTACGCCACCACATATGTGTATAAATATCCACCTTGATTGCTGATTCTCGCACTTTCTCTTTCTTTCCTTCTCTAACATTTTTATCTTTGTTATATAAGACCTATCAATATAATACCAATCTATTCGGCGTAGGCCTCTTACACTGGCCGCTGAGAACATGAATTTCACATTTAATCTCATTTGATGTAGTCTCATACATTTCTTGGTGTGAATCCTGCTAGAACTAGTTATTAAAAAAACATGCAAACTGACTATATATCAAATCTCAAAATGAAATCATGACTTGAAAAAAATGAGAAAGTGATCTCATTTAATTTCATTTAGTCTCATTCTTGGCATAAAGTTATTATTTTTAGACATTTTAAGATTTTCTTCAGACTATTTTTAATTTTTTAAAAAGTAACACTTTTTGATAATACTCAAATGAGGTTTAAAGTCATTTAAAGCAATAAAAATAATTTAAATTAAGAAGTGAAAATCATGATCTTATTTAGAAAATATGACAAGAGTAGACAGTAAGTCTCACTGAGACAGTATAAGACTACTATTTAATGTTAAAACCGTGTAATGAGATCAGTTGAATTGATAATGAGACTATTAAAAATTCTAGTCCTGTGGTTTGAAGAATGTATGACCGCCGGATAATAACACGGCCACTTCTGAACATGCTTACGAATGTAAAGAGGCTCTAGAGGCCACTAATTAATTTAGATAATGTATATAAGAAGCCGGTGTATACCTGTAATTATACACTGACTCAATCAATCTTTGAATCACATCTGATAGCATGTCTAAAAACTGGTGAGAAGTGCAGACTTCTTCAGAATGTGATAATTTCATCTACAAAGTAATTCATAGTTATCATATCAGTGTGGTTCTAAAACATCTTAAAAGATAGTGTATGAAGAAGTAGTGAGCAGAAGAGTATCTGATTGATACTACTCTGCTTATTAGAGAAAAACTTCACACTCAGGCAAATACTATGTATACAAATGAATGAGATGTGAGAAAGGAAATATGAGCAGTGAATCAGATTCAAAGAAGACTGCTCTCTACTCAGAAGAATAAAAGAGAGATGACTATCACTAGACTGACTGTATAACCGTGTCTGAAACCAGGACCAGAATATTTAATGATCTCATTATCAATTCAACTGATTTCATTACACTGTTTTAACATTAGATAGTAGTCTCATACTGTCTCAGTGAGACTTACTGTCTACTCTTGTCACATTTTTCAAATGAGATCATGATTTTCACTTCTCAATTTAAATTATTTTTATTACTTTAAATGACTTTAAATCTTATTTAAGTGTTATCAAAAAGTGTTACTTTTTAAAAAATTAAAAATAGTTTAAAAAAAACCTTAAAATGTCTAAAAATAGTAACTTTATGCTAAGAATGAGACTAAATGAAATCAAATCAGATCACTTTCTTATTTTTTTCAAGTTATGATCTCATTTTGAGATCTGATATATAGTCACTTTGCATGTTTTTTTAATGATTAGTCTCAGCAGGATTCATATTAAGAAATGTATGATATCAGATCAAATGAGATCAAATATGAAATTCATGATCTCAGCAGCCAGTCTAGCTATCACTGAAGTTGTACAATAATAATAGGAAACAGAAATCAGAAATCATATAATGATAAAATCATATAACAATATAATCATATAATGATATAACTAGACTGGTCATCAGAATCATGAATTTCACATTTGATTTCATTTGATCTGATCTTATATATTTCTTGATGTGAATCCCGCTAGGACTAATTATTAAAAAAACATGGAAAGTAACTATATATCAGATCTCAAAATGAGATCATGACTTAGAAAAAATAAGAAAGTGATCTTATTTGATCTCATTTAGACTCATTCTGAGCATAAAGTTACTATTTTTAGACATTTTAAGGTTTTTTTAGACTATTTTTAATTTTTACAAAGTAACACTTTTTGATAATACTCAAATGAGATTTAAAGTCATTTAAAGCAATAAAAATAATTTAAATTGAGAAGTAGAAATCATAGTCTCATTTGAAAAATGTGACAAGAGTAGACAGTTATTATTATTATTCTTCAATTATAGATGTATGCAGTCAGAGACTATGACATCTACCTGAGAACCTTTAGTTCTCAGGGTTTTTCCTATATCTATAGAGTCAACTATTATACACTTATCAATTTCAGATATGCAAAATCAGAAAATTCCAGCTCAGAATACAAAAACTGTTTACAAATTGCAGTATTTCAACACCTTTTGATACTTTGAAATCATTTGAAAATATCATGACAAAGGAAAAGAGAACATAGTCTTAAAGATAGACACATTAAATAGATAGATAGAAAAGAACAGAAAGAAACAAGTACAGTAAAGAGAGACTATAACAAAATAAAATTATTAAAAGATAGTGTATAGCTGTTTTAACAGACTATATCTAATCAATTTCCACCTCTTCATATTCAGATACTTCTGAATTGAGTCATTTTCTTGTAGCTGCTTGAGTTTCTGATAGAAAGTCTATTAAGTATTTAAGTCCTGTCTCAGTTGAGAATAAGAACCTCATATTTAATTGATTTAAATCATACTTCTTCTTTAATCTGACTCTGAGACTATTGTATAATGCACAATGTATTACAATATACTCAGGATTCTCATTTGTATTGCAGAATGAGCACTCTGTTGAATCAAATCTATCATCAAATCTTTGTATATAGACTTTGAAATAACCATGTCCTAGTTTTAGCTGAATTATGAATGAGAATATTTTCTTTTTGCATTTAATTGAACAAGATTTCCACTTTGGTTTTGTCTCAAATCTTGAATAATGTATGCTCTTCTTTTGTTTCTGCCAGCTTTCATTTCACTTGTTTAAACAAGATTCTTTTATCTTTCTCTTTATGAAAGACCAGGACACTGTTTTTTGAATAGATCTGCTTAATTCTGAACCCTTTTTTGCAGCTGAATCAGCCAATTCATTGCCATGAATATTCATATGAGCAGGAACTCAATGCAGATCAATTATCAGTTTAGATGTTCTTCTCTTTTGAATTTTCAAAACAGAGTTTAAAATCAGTTCAAGATTCATTTGATCATTATGAATCTGACTATTTCTAAGTCTTTTTTAAAGCAGCTTGACTATCAGAGAATATCCATGCCTCTTTCAAACTATTTCCTTCTTTATGAGATTTTATTTCAGTGAGTTTGAAAGCTTTCACTATTGCAAATAGTTCAGCATCAAAGACTTCAGATTCACAGCCTAAATTCCAAAAATCTGAGATAAAATTGATATTATCTTCAGTATAAGCAATGCCTGCACCTAATTAAGAGTAGACAGTAAGTCTCACTGAGACAGTATGAGACTACTATCTAATGTTAAAACAGTGTAATGAGATCAGTTGAATTGATAATGAGATTATCAAATATTCTGATTCTGATCTCAGACACGGTCACACGGTCAGTCTAGATATAACAATAGACATTATACAATCAATGAGAAATCACTGAAATGAACATCTCTTATAGTTAATATGAATACTCTTCTCTGCTATCTGAATCAGAAGGTATTCAGAACCTCTCAGAGAATTTACTTAAAGCAGTAAGAAAAGCAGCTGAGACTGCTGAACTGAAATTGAAGCTCTGTACATGTACAAGAATTCTAAACAAGATTGAGACCTTGTGTACACAGTGACAGGCTGAGACAGAAGTCAAGCAACAATTGATATTCACTGTGAATCAAGTATTCACTATGAAGAGCTTCACTGATGCAATCACTATTATTAATAAGAATAGAGAAAACCAGGTCATAGATCTGCAGCAGAAGATTGAACATTTACACAGACAGATAATCACACTGAATCTGAAGATCTCATCACAATTATTCACAATCTCATCAGAAGCATTCATATCATCTGAGACTGCTGTACAAAATGAGAATCTGAGTATGAAATATATCAAGTCAGAAGATCTGTCAGAGTTATTAAGCTTCAATGATGACTGAAAAAATGATGCTGCAATCAGCTGACTAAGTCAGATATGATTATATTATCAGATTGAACATGAACTCACAGACAGATAGTCAATGAAATTTCAATAAGTCTTAAGATCTGCTGTGTTTCTACATGAAAAAGTGAAGTCATTATGAATAATCAGTGAAAAGATGAATCTCACAGACTCAGAGTAATATTCATTCTCATAAATATGAAATGAGTTTTTCAAATGAATCTTACACAACTTTGAGAAAGTGAATATATAAGATAAGTGTTATAAATGCTTTACTGAGTATAGATAAGTAAGTAATCTTATATCATACTTTATATACTTTAGCTTATACTATCTCATATTGAATGAAGAGCTTTTAACATCTTTCTATTTACAGATCTTTATTTATAATCTTACATCTGAGTTGAGTGCAGAATGAAAATACTTAATCTTGTAATCAGACACAGTGAAAGAAGCATACAATACTCTCATTATACAGAAACAAGTGAGTTAATTATAACAGAGAATACTGTAATTAAGTATATCTCAGTGAAGAATAGATAATCAGACTTCTATAACACAAGTCACACATCTAAATACAATAAATCTAGATTTGAATGTTATTACTAAAGTACTGAATTCCTTAAAAAAGAAATCCTCTAAGTGAAAATCTTGATATTATAAGTATCAAGCTTGCTTCAACTGCAGACATTAAAATCATAATATAAAAGATTGCACACAGTGTACACAGTTAAGAAAAGTAAGAGAGTTAAAAAACTAGTAGAATCAGTGAGCTCAGAGACACTCACTGATATTCTATGAAAAGTCTTCAAAGTAAAAGAGATATCTGTGTTAGATAACTCTCTGAATTCTGTGAATATTAAGAGAAAGCAGGCTTCTGAATGTGATGCAGATGAGAATGAAGAAGTGAATATTTATCTCAATGTCTTAAGACCTGAAATGTTAATGTATAGAGAACACTAGAATAAGAATTAAGAGATAACTGTAAAAGTGTTAGTAGATACAGAAGCTTCTATACAATATATTAATAATTATATAATTCAAAGACTAAAAGAGATCTACTGAGTAGAGAATTCTTAATGCATAAGATTGTCTGATAACTGATATTTAGTTTCACTTGCAAGAGTAAGAGTTTTCTTATACTTCAGAGAATGATCTTGCTATATCTGAGTGCAAGAGCTGCAGAATGTGAAATACAATCTTCTTCTCAGACTTAATTGATTTCAAAGATTCAATCTGCAGATTCAATAACATACATGTTATATACAGTTAACTGATAAGAAGAAAACAGTTCATATAATTCTATTAACTAATATGAGAAGGACATTTCACATCTCTGATATAGAAGAGTTAAATCTGCTTACATATTATCAAGTAAAGAGAATAATTTCCAAGATCTTATTCAAAAGCATTCTGTATGTGATACAGGATCTGAAAGTGAAGAAAACCAAGATAAAGAATATGTGAGAGAATAAGCATATAAAGAAACTTCTGAAGAAGTATGAGAAGATCTTCTGAACAGATCTTTCATCAGAATTGCTGCCAGAATAAGAATTTATACATGAGATTAACACAGAAGATGTGAAATCAGTTAATTAAAATGCATACTCTCTGTCATAAACACACCTTGAAGAACAGAAGTATCAGATCACAGATCTTCTAGAATGTGATCTCATATAATTCTCATCAAGTGCATGAGACTTCTCAGTTCTATTTACAAAAAAGGTGGATAAGAAGTGATGAATATGTATCAATTATCAAGCACTTAACAAGCTTATAATCAAGAATGAATATTCACTGTCACAGATTGAACAACAGTTGAATACAGTTAAAAATACTGAATATTTATCAAAGATTGATCTTCTCTCAGAATACTAACAGATCTGTGTAGATAAACTGTTAGTACTGCAAACAGCATTTAATATATAATAAGAGAAGTTCAAATTTCCGACAATGTTATTCAGTCTGACAAATGCATCTATTATCTTTTAAATAATAATGAATACAATTCTTCATAAACAGAATGAAATCTTATATCTTATAAATCTGAATAACATTCTAGTCTTCTCAAACTTATATAATAAATATCTGAAGCATCTCAATGAAGTGCTTACAACTCTGACAGAGTATAAGCTCTATATCAAATCAATAAAGTATGTGTTTGAAATGAAAGAGTTGAAGTTCATAGAATATGTAGTGAGTGATGACTGTATATACCTCATTCTGAAGAAATTGAATGTTATAGTGAATTAACTGCAGCTGAGAAACATATACTATGTATAACAGTTTCTTAAATTAATCTCATATTACTGCAGATTTATCAAGAATTTCATATGAATATCTGCATCACTCTCAGATCTCTTAAGAGAAATGAATACAAATCTGTAAAAGAAGAAGTTTCATTCAATCATCTAAAATACTGTGTGTGAGAAGATCTTTCTCACACTGAGAGAATATGTAATAATATTTTCAGTGCTTATTTAATCAGACTGTGATAAATCTTTCTACATTAAGACAGATATATCTGAATAAGCTATCAGAGATGCTCTTCTACAGATAAGTAAGAATGACAAGCTGCATCTAATGATGTATAATAGTAGGAAACTATCAGATGCTGAGCTCAATTACTCAGTGTATGAAAAGAAATTGTTAGTAATCAAGCACACACTGATGTTATGAAATAGATATATTAATAACAGATATATGACAATGATAATCATGAATTATGAAAGTCTTATCTATCTATAATTAATAATAAAACCTTTCAAATACTTAGTATATTGAATCTCAGAGTTTTAAGCATACAATTTTCATATCAAATACTGAAAGAGATTGAACACTGTAATACCTGATATAATCAGTCACAGATCTGATTTCATGAGTGAGAATTCTACAAATCAGGTATAAGAAAAGTTTACATTAAACACACTGAGAGAATGTAAGGAATCAGAATGAGTGAATGTAATGATATCTTACTTAAAGAACAGTAAGATATTAAATAATAAGTATCTTATAAAAGTGATAGAAGAGATGCTTTCAAACTTCAAGCTGAGAAAATTGAAAAATGATATAGTACTTTACTGTGATCTAGAATATATAGAAGCTCTGTATCTAAAACATTTATTTAGATATAACTTAATGACTTACATGCATAAGAAATTCAGTCACTTAGAAAGTTCTGAACTTATAAGTATACTTGAATCAAGAGTGTACTGATCAAGCATGACTGAGAACATTCAGATATATACTCACAAGTGCCTGAATTATCAGGTTATAAAAGAATCTAAGAAAGGATTAAAACATGAGAAAGTGTAACATCAGATAAAATATATAATACAATCATTTAAATAATGAGAAGTGAATCTCATAGACATATTACTGTGAACACTAAATGAAAATTATTGAATAATTACTACTATTAACTACACTACTAACTGACCAGTTGCAAAAGCAGTTTCAGAGATAATGAAGAAGATAATGATGAAGTTTCTATATAATGATATCTATATTAACTATGAAATGCTGCATAAGATTCTAACTGATAATAATGTAAATCTCATTAAAGAAGTAGTGAGACATTTTATGAGACAGTTACAGACAAGACATTGTAGAACAATGTTATATCATCTGCAGATAAACAGAAAGATGAAACACTTGAATGAAATTCTGAGTAATATGCTGATGAAATATCTAGTGAGCAAATCTATGAGATTATGAGATGAATATCTCAGTCAGGTGCTATTAGTCATGCGAATTCAGCAGTATATAGTCTTCAAGTGTTCATCATTCTATCTGTTGTATAAATTACATCCGCTCATCTCAGAGAATGCTTTGAAAAAGATGAGAAAGAGAACAACAGTTACAGATACAACAGTCATAGATACAGCAGTTGTAAATACAGAATCAAGATTGAAAGAGATCAGTCATGCACACACAAAAGCTAATAAGTTACTTCTGAATCAAGCAATTCAATTGAAAAGAATACAAGACTCACTAATTAAGAAATCAAGTCTCAAGATGAGAACATGAGTTCTTATATATAATAAGAGTTCTGAGAAGTTTCAATCTAGATGATTTGAGTTATATAAAATACATAAATCACATTCTCTGAGAATATACACATTGAAAGAATCAGAGAAATGAGTCTTATACAACTTAATAAATGATTTATATCTTATAAAGATAAAGATACAAGATCTGAGCAGATTATAATTATTCATAGCACTATTATCAGTGTTGAAAAAGAAGAGATCTATAATTGAAAAGTCTTACAAAGTAAGAGAAATCATAGATACTTATAAATCAGATAATCTTACTTATTCTGATCTTTTCATAATTATAAGAAAAGAATGAGAAGTAATGAAGAAATCAGATAAATATCACACTTCAATAAGTGATAAGACTGTAGCTGATTATATAATAATACACTGTAAACAGCAGACATAATACAGCAAAGAGCAGTCTCAAAGTAGCAGACTTATACATGAGTCAGATCACAGAAGAAAAAGAAATTCAGAGTTGAATTCAACTGTTTACATCAGTTCAATTGTGAAGATAATAGAGAATAAAGTATCTGAAACATCTGCAGATATATGAAACCAAGTTATCTTAATCTCTGAGAATGCTCAGAGATTGAGTGAGATTAGTTTCAATGAGCTGTTCACTGTAGTAGTCTGAGTAAGTAAAGAGAGACAGTATAATGTATAAGACAGAATTACAAGAGATGAAAGCTACTGAATCTAGTTACTGAACACTGTATTATATAGAGATTGTGTAAGAGTAGTAACTAGCAGATAAAGAAAAAGTGTAAGTAAAGAAAAGAAATAATGAATTAGTCATCAACTGTAAGAGTCAGCTATAAAAGACAAATGTTATTATATATATCTCATTCATTTTCTTATACTATACATTTAATCTATTTCTAACATCATGTCACCTGAAAAACATCAAAAACAAAGAAAATCTCAAAACTCAAGATTTATAAGGAATTTGAAAGCT